TATTAGTCATGCTTCATCTAATTTGTTACTTTTTATTTTTTTCCTTTCTTTCTTTCATTTCTTTTTTTTTTATTAATTTTTGTATAATTTATCGAAACGTACTCGCACGTTTCGTGATTATTGTAATTGTAATTATTCATCTATGAATTTTTGTATTAGTCATGCTTCATCTAATTTGTTACTTTTTTTTGTCTTCCTTTCTTTCTTTCATTTTTTTTTATTTTTTTTATTAATTTTTGTATCTTTTATCGAAACGTACTCACACGTTTCGTGATTATTGTAATTGTAATTATTAACGTATGAATTTTTGTATTAGTCATGCTTCAGTTTGAACGCACGTGTCACATATTATTACGTATGATTATATCGTATTTTATCTATATATATATATATGTATATGAGTATGTATTTTTAGATGACGTTAGGTATTTTTACTCGTTAATGTATTAGAAGAAGAAGAAAAGAAAAAAAAAATTAAGATGATTCATAATGAGATTAGTAATCGGAAGAATATCTGTCATACGAGATTCGAATGATTATTATTAACAAAAAAAAATAATTAAAAAAAAAAATGCTACGAATGAAATTCGATAATTTGTAAAAATAAATCGAACCCATCCGTATAATATAATATATTAAATAAATAAAATAAATATATTGTTTGTTTGTTTTTTTATATTAATCTTACCGTTAAAACAATCGATTCGATTAACGCACGAACAAGCATGATAGAATTTCCTTTTCTTTTCTTTTTTCTTTTTTCTTTTTTTTTTTTAGAATGTTTCTTACTTATTTCAATTCTATTTGAAATCTCGTTGATTGATTTTCTCGATGAACAATTTCTCGTTTCGTTTGAAATTTCTCTCGTTCGTTATTTTCTTCGTCCTTTGGTCACCACATTTGTTTAATTTAAAAAAAAAGAAAAAAAAGGAAATAATAAATATATAATACTCTTGTTTTTTTTCCACCCTTAAAATCCTTTAGATATTAATAATAATATTACATTGATTATTGTTATTCAAATCCAATTATCAAATTATCAATTATCCCATAATATTGTTTTTATTCTCCGTACGACAATAATATTTTAAATAATTATTATTCAAAGAGAATAATAACATTGTGTATATCTCGCGCGCGAATTTTATATTCTATTAGGTTTAAAAATTAAAATAAAAATTAGAAAAAAAAAGCAAAAGAATTTTGCAAATAATTTAATTCGAATTTGGATCGAATAAATTTTGCGAAAAATACGAGAGTGGTAATCGGTGGATAGGATTGGAAAAATAAATAAATAATTAAATAATTAAAAGAGAGAGGGGGAAAAAATAAATGAATAGATTTAAAGATGGAATATTTAGAAGATTAAAAAAAAAAACAAAAAAAACGTAGCAATGTGTTTCTTCGAAGCGTGCTGTTAGGACGCGATACGGTGACTGAGAAACTAACGAAGGCTTTCAGATTTTCAGAGCTATCGGCAAGTTCCTTCCTTCGAGATCACACCCCCACGCCACGAATAAGTATAGTCGAGATCATTTTTCTTTATACCATATTCAAGATCTCAACTGTCTTATCCCCCCTTCCCACCCAACCCCACTCCACCACCTTCCACAACTGTTGTGTTAGAATTTATTTATTCGTCATTGTTATGGTATGTCAATTCGCGTTAACAATATATTTTATATTATTCATTTAATTATAAT